TCATTAATATCAAATCATATTCTTTACATCAGTATTGTTCAGAAGCTATTAATGTTATGAGAAGTAGGGTCGGTTCTGACTCTGAATTTGCAAATGGTAATATAGGAAGCCACCTGGACTGAGTTTTGTTGTTAAGAAACTTAATTCCTATTGCATTTGTCCAGTTGATACATGTGTTTCTAGCTCTTCTGCATGAAATTTTCCAGCAGCCTAACAGCCATTTAGTATAGACTCTGCTCCCACATTTGCCACTGGCGCTACTTAAAATGTTGGAAAAGTTACTCAAGGTCTTCTTCACAAAATGGAAGTGATGACACAACTTTTGTTATGAAGAATGTCAACATTTTGAATTAGCTGTATGCACAAGTTCCTATACCTATATGGAGAGTGTATTTATTTTCCTGTAGGTCTGTGGATGCCATGTTGTATTTTGAATATGAGGTGTAAATTCAGAGCAAGTTTATATTTGAACATTTCAAATATTTAAATTTTCATTCCTAACCCTTAAAAAAACCTATATTTTAAATGGATGGATTAGGTTGAGAGGAAGAGCATGCTTTTTTTTAACACTGGCAGTAAAACAACTGGTGCATGAGCTATAGATGCTCTTTGAAATGCTTAGACAACCAGAAATAATTTTTTTTATTATTTTTTGCATGTACAGCATCATGCAGGGTGTACAGCGCATGCAAAGTCTCCAAGCAGACATTAATGCTTTGCTGGTAGTTTCAAATGCTTTCCCTGATTATAAAATGAACAGAGATGGTGAATATCTCTAGTAGATAGTTTTCTCAAGAACTTCAATTTATTGATGAAATGGAATATGAAAATGTTTCATTTCAATTTCCTAGGGTTTATTCCTTAATTTAGGGTATGAGTATTTTCAGTACTAGATTTGCTAAAAAAATTTCTTTTGGCAAATCTAGATCTTAAGAGCAATTTAACAGGGTTGATTCAAGAAAGTGTTTGAGAATGTGTATCAAGCAAAAGCCTTCTGGATTTTAGAGATGGCAGAGGGGATCTACTGCATAATTCAAGTGTCTTTTGCTGAATTAAAGCAAGACTGGGGTCTTTTGGTTTTTGGTTGGTTGGTTTTTGTTAAGTATTTCGTGAGAAGCTGGTTATAAAATAATTTTCCTGCTTTCCTC